AAATGATCAACGCGTCTTACAATTTACGCGACACGGCATTTATATAGATTGATCGTCCAAACCGGTCTAAATACCGGCCACAGACCTTAACATCCCTAATTGAAGTAGAACAAATAATTATACCCTATATTTATATGAATCTCAGCAATTCGTACGTCAAAGTTCTTGATTTACGATTTGTTTCATAATATAACGAAACTTTAATAGGTTATAACGACATTAATAATTTAAATAGAAGTAATAAAAAATTTTTTTTTTTTTTTTATTCTTATTAACGATTATCCAACTTTACAATAATTATGATTATTTACAACTTTTTTTTTTTTTAAAAAAAAAAAAAGGAAAGAAAAAGAAAAGGAAAAAAAAAAAATAAAAATAAAATAAAGTACTTGAAAGAAAAAACTGTTAAAAAATTTTTTTTGTGATTTATAATACAATGTGTGTATGTGAAAGAAGAAATGTTCGTTGCTTTGTCCCGCCAAAAATCTCCGTGAACCATTTTTTTTTTTTTAAAAAAAAAAATAAGATAAAATGGTTAATAATATTTGTTACAATGAGGGCATTTACATTCTTCAATGAAACTTTTCTCATAATCATAAGTATCATTAATATAAGGTTGAACGTAACTGTTTCGTCTTGGACTATTTTTATCAACTTTAACGACTCTAAATACCTCACATTCCTCAATATCAAAATACATGTGAGAAGAATATTTTGCATAATAAGAAGGTACGTAACAACCACTATCATATCTTAAAATTAATCTTAAATCACCAAAACATGGACCATCTTCCGATAAGAAATGCTTATATAAAGTGTCAAATCTATTTAGACGGCACAAGACAGATTTTGAAACATTTTCTCGATTATCAAAGAAGAAAACGAAATTTTCTTTGACGCTAAAACCATCCTGTACATTAATCGATTTTTTATCTGTAAAAAGTCCGTAAGGGTCAAATCCTCCTACTAAACACCTTTGTCCTGCTATCTTTGCAACCGCCAAAGTTGGACCTTGTTGATTACATTTCTCGGCGAAATTCTCAAATCCATCCCTTGATGATCTAAAGATCAAATCAAATTTATATCTGCAAGCAGTTTTCGTTTGCTTTTCACCATCAAGTTCTTGCCTTTGTAAGGAACCGATCCATTTAATAAAATGTGCGGCATGAACATGATTTATAAGATTTGAATCCTTTAATCCTTGAGAACCTTTAGGACTATATCTCGTTAAATACCATTTTAAAGCGGAATTATCCATTTCTTGAGATGATAAGATCTTTTCGTAAGGAAGAATGTTTGAATGAATATCATTTCGAGAAATTTCCGCGAATTGAACCAACGGTAAAAGGTTTCCAACGGTCCTTCCGAGCAATTTGAAATCATCATCCGACCATTCTGATAATTTTTCCCCGTCAAGGGAAGGGTTTTGTGATAAACCCCATTTAATGATGAGTTCCCAACGAACAGTTTGCTCAAGGTTACAATTATACTGTCGTAAAAGGGAGAGGAGGATCGTTTCTTCCAAAGTGTTCAAGTCTTCGGCATCTATCAACCAATTAGGATTGGTGTTGATTTTATTAACCAAATGACGGCGTAGTTTGTAAAAAGATTCCACTCCATATATATAATGTAAAACCGGAATACAATCTTGTTCTGGCCAAAAGTCCATGTTTTCTCCGACATGATCCGGTATGCTGTCAATAAGGTCGTCCAACATGAATTCATCGGCCGCGATAAACAGGTCATAAATCTCGTCAGAATCAAGATTATCCAACATTAACTCGCCAATATATAAGTACCTAAATGAAGGAACAACGGGTTTTTTTTTATGAATATGATGGACACGTGATTTGAATTTGTAAAGAAAAACAATAGTGATTTTTTTTTTCTTTACCTGAGGATAATATCAAATACAACCGGTCTAACGTTTGGTTTGTCAATAATGAAAACATCATTTTCTTTTCTGGCCCATTCAGAGGACAAAGCTGTGCGAAAATAAGAAGAACGAGAGCATAGAATGATTGATCCAGCCCTAAATTCTTTTACGTCAGGTTCGGCTCCAACACGAATGATCGTATCGTAACTTCCCCCATAATCACAATTTATCTCATTTATCTTTTCGTTATCACTGTTAAATTCGTTCACTTTTGTATGAAATTTTTCCGAGATGGTAGATTCGGTGGGTTTATTATTATTATTATTATTATTATTATTACCAAGCAAAAGGTCAAAAATATTCACTTCATTTAAAAGGAGTTTTTCATTAAGGTATTCCAAAGTGTTTAAAGCGGAAATTATCGTTGATTGAGTTGTCATGATGAAATTTTTTTTTTATTATTAAAAAAAAATATATTATTAGATTTTTTTTTTTTGCGTACTTTTTTTTTTTTAAAAAAAAAAAAAAAAAAAAAAATCTTTTGGAAATTCGTGCTTATATTTATTTTTTTTATAAAAAAAAAAAATTAAAATAAAGTTCAGAAGGACGAGTAACCATTGCACAAATATCATGAGAAACTGTAAGATTTTCCTCATAATAATAAAACTCGTTTTTTTTTTTTAACATTAAAATATATCTATTGGAATTTGGAGTATCGGGTGGAACCAAGTAAAAAAAAAAAATTAGTTGCAAATTGGAAAGGATCGTTTGACAAGTAAATAAAACATCTAACAATCAAAGAGAAAAAAAAAATTTATAAATAACTTGTCACAATCTATTACGTTTCTGGCAGCTTGGCGCACGTATGTGAAACGAATTAATTATACCCTATGAACCAACGTGGACATACTTTGCGGATATTTCACGCATACATTTCTTCGGGTGACAGGATTTCTTTTATGTTTTAAATTTTTTTTGTTTGTTTGTGTATCAAAAAGCGGGGGGTACCTATTCGAAATGATAAATCATCCGAAAGATCCGTGTTGATTGTAAATCCAATAAATATGCATAATTAAAATTCGCAATAAAACCGACACATTTCTTCAACTCTTGAAAAAAAAAAAAAATATTGATTGAATCGAAAAGATGGCGTTTCTTTTTTTCAGATGCGTTTTTTTAAAAAAAATTAGATGATCTTGAAAAAGAATTTATTTAATTTAATTTGGACTTGCGTTGTAAAAAAAAAATTTTTTTTTTTGAAGCATCCCTGTTCCTTATCAGTAATTTATCACACATATGTACATCATCACAAATATTTAAAAATTTTTAAAAAAAAAAAAAAATGTAAATCTAAATATCATATGACTGATTAATTGGCGCAAAAAAAAAAAAAATTTTTTTTTGTTATCCTAGACGTTTTCTTGTCAAAAATCTTGTTGGAATAAAAAAAAGATCACACGACCCAATTAAACTTTAACAATGATACATTGAGATTTTCCTTTTGTGTTCAAGTTGAACAATATGATGTTAAAAAAAAAGTGGGAACAATATGATGTTATTTGAATGTGAAAAAAAAAAATTTTTATTTTTTTTCTTGATCAAGTTCTTACGCTTGTGATACCGATGACTTTTTTTTTTACATCTTGTGATATCTTAATCGTCACTCATTTCGGCTAAATTCTATTTTCGCCAAACGTCAAAAAACGATAACTTAAGCCAAAAATGTGGGGTAATTTGTTTACGAAAAAAAAAAACTTTATTCAAAAAAGTGTGGGGTAAAAAATTACAATATTAAAGAAAAGCCCAATTTCATTAAATGTTTTTTTTTCATTTAAATGGTGCTTGTCTAATCATTAGATAATTTGTGTTTGATTATGACGAATCTCGATGATTAGATTGTTAATTGTTTTAGGGGCAAGAATATTAAATTTAGCTTAGTCGAAAAAAAATCACACGCTGCCTTGTTGTCACAGTTTATTTGAAAAGTGACGAACAACAAAAAAAGTTAAAAGGATTTTAACAAAGTGACACAGAAAGACCGAATTCACTCTTTGAAACCTCCAAAACAAAAAAAAAAAAAATACGTGCATACATGGTACATAACCATATGGAATAATATGGATCGATTTACCGCGCTTTTTTTATTGCATTGTTGTTCATTCTTATGGGTAAACCTCGTCGTCATATAATCGTAAAGAAATTCATTTGTCGCATGAAATTACGACGATGAATTTGAATTGTCTCAAATCTACTATCACAATGAACGATACTAATCCGAATTCAATATAATTTGATACGTAATTTATTTAAATTAAAAATTTTCTTCAAAATAAAAGCGGACGCAAAATTGTAACACGCACAATAAACCGAATTTGGCAGGCAAATTTTCCCGCCCTTTTCTATTGAATTGTCCAAATACGTTTGATAAATAACATTCCTAGTGTTACGGTCAAATTTTTACCCTACTAACAAGCCTTTTGTCAAATGTCTATTCTGTGAAGAACGTAGTTGCACAGAATTATGAAGCCCCAGAAATAGAGTTGCAAAATTCATTGTATTTAGAAAGTGGTTATTTATTAAATTAAACTATAGGATTATTGATACGTGAACTTGGATCTGGATGGTTAACTAATTTACTCTTTGCTTTGTCCAATGAGTTAATATCGAAATTGACATTATGGACCAAGTTAAAGAAATTAGAGACAAATATACAAAGTTAATTGAAAATTAAAATTGGAAAACGTTTTTAATGAAAAACCTATCCTAAACGTAAGTATCGTTTTTGTTTGTATTTATAATTAACAAAAATTCTTATTAATACTTTTGTTTTTTTTTAAAAAAATAAATAATGAATAACGGGGTAAAGATATTCAGAATAATATCTTGTTGGCATCATAGTAGAAACTAATATAAAAAAAGATCTATTTATTAAAAAGATAACCTATATGATAAATTTATTGAAAATTAAACAAGGTTCGGAGGTTAAAAAAAATATTGAATTCAGTCATGGAATGGCAATTAGAATTCTTAAATAAAAGTGAAAAAGGAATGCAAGGAATTTATTAAAACTAAATATGGAAAAAGATAACTAATTTGATAGTTTTTTAAAAAAAAAAAGGAGCAAAATCCTTTCTTAATTATCATTTTCTTCTGTTACTAAAGTAAACCCATCATCATCAATGATGTGTTTTATTTGATAATTTTGATGGAGTTGTTGAATAATTTATATCCATCTTCTCATCACCTTCCATCGTCGAACTTTCTCCATTTTGTACATTTTCATCATCATCATTACTGCTATCATCCTCCTCATCATCATCCTCGTTTTTTGCTTTCTTTGAAGGTGGGAAATTGTGTTTGGTAGATCTAACGGCTATTCTATACTGTATTAGTTAAAGATGTCGATGGATGCTAGATTATTTTTTCAAGGATCAACGTTTTATTGTCAACGTGATCGAATTAAATCTTACTTAAAATGGAAGATTTAATAGACTGTTTAAGCCCCAAGTATGGATATTTTTCTCATAGCATCATCATATGTTACAGCCCTCAAACGAAAAAATTTTTTTGTATGATTTTAAAATACAGTTAACTCTCAATAATAAATTTGCAGTATAATAAATTTTTGTATTTCACATAATATTTAATCAATAAAATATGTTATAAACAAATTATTTTTTATTTATAAAAATTTTTTAAGTTTATACAAAACTCAAAAATTTCCAAAAGTTGGGGGTGGCTAAAGCCGGGCTCGATCACGATATTTTGGCCAGAATCACGGCATTAAGGTGATAGTTCAGGTGACAAATAATATGTGACAAATAAGAATACTTAACAAAAACGTGACAAATACGCGTCTTTTATTTTGTTGGTGATTATTGACGTTTGCGAGTCACGTGTTAAACCCCAAGTTTCTGTAGATCGACATCATATAAATTTATATAGAGATGATCTTCATAACAAGCTACTTATATGTATTACGTATCAAAAGTTTCGAGCTTCTTTTCTTCCCATGACAAACAACAACTCATATTGACAAGACTAAAAATTATTGTTTTAGCGACGAACTTTATTAACTTTTAATATTTTTTTTTATTTTTTTTTATGTTATTTCGAAACACCAGCAAGGAAGTGGTAGTATATTTTGTTTTTTTGTTATTTTTATTAATAATATATATGTATATTTTTTGTTTTTATCAAATAGCAGACGGACGGCTGAGGAAGGAGATAACATAATAGGATAATAGGTAATGGGAAAGAGAGTGAGCTGGGCATAGCTGGGAGTGGGTTTAATTACTAGCTGATAACTAGCTGACTGGCAGTGCGCCGTGTTTCGCTACCAAGCTGAAGGTATGGAGGCTTGACGGTAACCTTGGTGAGGGGATCAGCTTCTTCTTGATGTGGAATTAGCTATGCTTCCCTTACGGACCAATCATATTGGTACTCGAGACCGATAAAATTAGTCACAAGGCCTGTCATGCCTCTTGCACGATCTTCTAATATTTCAATAATCTTGATTTATAAGAATCGCATTTAAAGTTTCAAACCTTTATATTGCGTCTAATCAGAAGAAAATTTTTTTCTTTTGATTTGGATTTGGCCTTCAAATAGTTTGGCGTTTTATCTTTGCCTTCGCTATGTGTGTGATCTGATTTTGAAATTTTCAAAGAAATTTTCAAAATCTATCATACAGGTGTGATAGATTCTATCAATTCTCTGCCGCACTACTCTTATGGATCAATAATCGTTCTGGCTTCTCGATTCAACAAGCCACTATCGTCGTAAGTTGATTTTATTTATTGCTTTCTGATCTTTGGTCTTGTCATATGAGTTTGTACAATTATCAATTATTAATGTAATAGATAAAATATATATATATTAAATAAAATTCCCATGATTTTTTTTTTAAAAAATGATTATTATGTAAATAAAGTTTCTATTGGCGCGATAAACTTTAATTTCTTTGATTTCAGTTTTCATTGCACAATTTGTTTGTTATTGAGTATTTGGTATTTGAATATAAGTTGGAGATATGATTCAGAAGTATTTCATTTCGCTTGTGAATGCGATATAATTATAAATCTTTATACGATTTCAAATATTATTAATTTTATAAAATTTTGATTAAATTATTACATTTAAACATAGTTAGAATTATAAAAAATGGTTATAAAAAATACATTAAGAGTCTTTAATTTTGTTGAAAATTCCTCATCCTATATAATCTAAATCATTATTATAATGGTTCGTTTCTTAATAATTTAATAAAAATTTTAAAAAAATGTTATCAAAATTTACAACTACAAATTCTAATTAGATATAACGAACTTGATCACTAAACCGGATTTTTTTTAATAAGTTAAAACCCTCCAAAAATTTCGATTTCCCAAAATCTACGCTCCTAAACACGTGATATCTGAATATCCTGGTATAAAATTTTCGAGATATCAAAATTTTTTTTAAAAAACCTTTTGTTGCAATCTTGAAAGGTGTGTATAAATTTTTAAACTGATTTTTGTCGGTATTAATTTAATTTATAAATGGACAAAAATATCTATAAAGGGAAATGTATAGTTAAAATATTATCCGAGAGAATACTTTGAAAAAAAATTTTTAATAATTCCGATTTTTTTTTTTTTTTTTTAAAAAAAAATTATTCTTTGGATGATCTAAAATCATAAGATTTACTTCAAGCGCAATGGGTAAGCTATAAACTTTGGTTGCTTATTTAATTCTCAATCTGTTTAATCTAATTTAAATTTTCTTTAATCAAGCCAAAAGTAAGAATCATACTAATCACAATCAAAGTAAGTTGTATAAGTCTATAATCATTTACACAAGAATTGTGGTATCAATTTATTTATATTTATTTTCCTTTTTTTTTAAAAAAAAACTAGATCGAAAGGCTCACCGTAATGGTATAAAAAAGCCAAAGACATATCGTTACCCTTCACTAAAAGGGGTATGTTATATTTATATGTATCTGGATTTATTTAAATAAGGCAAATAATGTATTCTAATAAATTTAATTTAGGTTGATCCTAAATTTCTTCGTAATCAACGGTATGCGAAGAAGGTAAATAATTATTTTAACAAACAAAATATTTTAATGATAACGACTTAAACAATTATTATTATTATTTTTTTTTTTTTCAGGGAACAATCGTAGCTTTAAAGAAAGTCAAGGATGCTAAGGCTTCAGCTATGAAAACAGATTAATTAACATTAACATTAATAATAAAAAAATGTTATAACAATTTGAGATTAACAATATCACTTAAAATATATATTTACAATCAATACTCCAACTAAAAATTAATCAACTTAAGTTTCTAGAAAAATTCTAAATAATTCATTGAAAAATATGAAAAAAAAAAACTAATTAAAAAAATGACTTAACTCATTATACAAATTATTCTGCAGAGTTTTATATAACAATTAATGGATAATGAAATTGTGAATGTACGATTAATTTTCATCAATTAGAATAGTCGCCTGTTTGGAATTTTTTAAGGTCAAATAGAGATGCATTTATACGACGTCCACCAAACCAACGACCATCTAATTTATCTTTGGCTTTTTCAGCAGCTATAAAAAAAATTAAAGTGATGATTATTATTCCCAATTCTCTATCATAAAAGAATATAAGTTCATACTTCGGCTTACCACTTTCATCTTCGAATTGTACGAAAATTTTAACCAACCCTCGTTCACTTTCAAAAATTTCTTCGGAATCAATATGAACTACCACCTTTTCAACGCTACCATAATTGCCACATTCTTCTTTGAATTCGTCTTCTAAAGTATCATCAACTTCAGAAGGTGAAACCGCATTTTTTATAACCACCACTGGAGATGACTAAAATTGATAGGTTTAACGTAAAGTCCTGTTAGATTTTAATTAAACGCAATAAGCTGTTAGTTTACATACCTCTTGTCTCGCTAATTTCTGCATAATTGCATAACGTTGACTGGCACTGATACTCATATTCTCTTCTTGTGCAACTGATTCTACTGCGGTTTGACCTCTTGCTGCGAGATCTGCCGCAATTTTTGCTGCCGCATTTTGCGCTTTAACTGCTGCCGCTATAAAAGTTTTTCAATTAGGTTAAAAACGGTAACTCGTTCCTAGTATCTAGAACAATTACATACCTGCAGCGGAAACAGAAGGTGATGTTACAATAGGTGGAGGTGGAGTAGCTCCTGCAGGAAGAGGAGGTAACTTATCAATAGCTTTCATTCCTTCGCTAAGAGGTCCTCCAATAACTGCCTTCCCTACGTGTAGAATTAACCCTCCCAACTCAAAATTGTTCATAGAGGTTACAGCTGTACTAGCGGAAGATTCATCTTCAAATTCAATAAACCTAGAAATAATAACCAATAAAAGGAAAAATCGATTAATATATTAACAATTTAAAAGCTTATTATATCCGTTCCGATCTTAGGTTTCGATATTGCTGGGTGGATTTCATTATGGGACACAGATGTAGCACTACCACTTCGACCGTCCAGGCGGTGGTTGCCAATAATAGAACGTGCTGGCTTTTCATCACTGAAGGCGTGAATAACTGTCTGCCGATTAATTATGTGTAGTCCATATGTGCACACATTTGATGTGTTTGTATACACATATATATGTAGAAAAAATATTCGGATAATGGGGAAAAAAAAAAATAATATAAATAGTAATAAAATAATAGAAAAAAAAAATTGTAGTGCATGGAGTACATAGAGTGCATAGACGAAATAAAAGTGAGTGTGCAATCCCACAACTTCCATATAGCAAAAAAAAAAAAAAAAAAAAGAGAAAGTCGATGTCATAAACCAATATAAATTAAATAATTAAAGTAAAGAAATTTCCGGCAAGTCAATGTAGAGCTCCTCTCCTGATAACTGAAAATGCGGCTTGATGGCAAATGTCTGTTGTTTTATATATTATTTGAGAAATTCAAGAGAAAATATGCAAGGGGAAATGGACAATAAAGAAAAAAAGAAATTCACACAACACGTGAGCAGACAGCGACACCAGTTGCACGGGGAATTATATTACTCCATTAATCGTCAAAAAAAAATTTTATCCAAAATACATCTTGTATCCACTATATATGTTGAGAAGGTTCAATAAAAGACAAATAATATTAACTGGATCAACTTACCCATATCCTTTATGCTTTCTTGTTATGAGATCAGGCTAAAATTACAGGAAAAAAGTCAACCAAGTTAATTAGGAAAAAATTATTAAAATGAAAAAAAAAAATTTATCATACCATTAAAGCACAATGATTGATCTTTCCAAATGATTCAAATATGCTCAGTAAGTCTTCCTCACTTACGTATTCATTAACATTTGAGACATATATTCGAGTTTTTGGAGGAGGAGACAATCCTATATTGTCTATCTTATTCAGTATATATTTTATTCAGACACTTAAGCCTATAATTATAGAAAAAAATAAACCCTATTACTAACCAGCAGCGGTTGCAGCTGTATAATTGTTGGGACGACCAACTTTAAGCTGTCTAAATATTATTAAAACACTTGAGTTTTTCGTTTATACAAGATTAAAAAGATAAAATGGATATGAGCAAATTACCTTCCACCTAATTCAGCACCATTCATTGAATCAAGAGCTAAGGAGGCACCTTCCGGAGTTTCAAATTCGATAAAACAAAATCCCTTATGCTTTCCGGTTAGAGGATCTAAGGACATACTAACGCTCTTGATTGCACCATATTGACCAAAAACTACGCGTAAATGTTGTTCGGTTAATTCAAAATTTATAGATCCGACATAAATGCGTGATAACACAGAAAGAGATCGAGGATCTATTCCAGAAGCCAATCCAGGATTAGACGATAAAAGAAGAGTAGGAAGGGGCGGTGGAGAATGGTTACTTCCAGCGGAATTAAGTAACTTTAAAATAAACGTTTTTTATTTTAAATAATCTGTAAATTATATAGGAAACTTATTAAACATTCAATTATTGTACTTACGACCGACTGCATTTCTTTTGCGAAAGCTTTAGCTTTATCTAATGCTGCTTTTTGTGCGTCATTTAAATGTAATGCAGGCATTTTATCTAGCCAAGAAGATTTAGGAAAAACCGTAGCGGTCGCAGGAGGAGTGTATAAAGTAGTTGTTGGTGGTGCAGAATTCGTAGGAACCGTAGAATTTTTCGTTGCTGAACCTGAAGGAGAAGGAGCTGGCGTCGTAGATTTAGGTGTTGGAACTGGCGTAGTAGAACAAGGCGAATCGGGACGTTTGGCTAAGTCGAGTTAAACAAAATCGAAACGTTACTTTTAAATCAAACGCGTATAGCAAAAATCAAACGAAGCGACATGATCATTATTTACATCCTTCAATTTTTATTCTTTTAGCGTCATCAGGGGACCGGGTTTCGTCTTCGTCCTCGTGAATTCTCTTTTTAGCCTCAATAGGAACTTCTTCTGAAGCTGGTACTATTTCCATCTCGGTATCAACAGAAAGGTCGGACATTTCACACTATAAGGTTAGCAAAATATTCGAAGCTAAGCGTGGCAAAGAAGAATTATAACGAGAACGGCTTTGTTTGTTTTGATTAACGCAGTTAATTGTTCAGATCGTGTGCAACGGCAAAAGATTTTCAAAAAAACATATTTGTCATGTGATAGAGTTTAGTAATTATATCAGATCTTTGTAGATCGGTATCGGTAGACAGTAGCTGATCATGAGATGATGATCATCCACGCGTCTCAACTATAAATAAGATCACTATGTATGGGTTGTAATTTCATTTTCTTTGAAATTAATCCAATCCAAATTTCGGTCTACAAACGACATTGGTTGTCAATTATTTCGACTTTTTGTTTTGATAAAAAAACCAACCTTTTGTAATTGTGTGTATTTTATTTGCATTGATATATGACATTCCAAAACAATAGATTGCTAGGAAAATCAGGCTCAGAATTTTTTGAGAACATCAAAAACTAAAATGTCAATAGTATTCCAAGAATTTGATATATCTATTACATAGATTTTGTGATAAATACCAGATGTTCTCATTTCTTTGATTTCGCAATAAAAACACTTGATCCGCAGCATAGATAATCTTTTTAAGGGGTAGGATTACCCAGTTATAAATACTAATTTTAGATAATGACCGCCAAAAATTTTATCTAAAGAATAAATCACGATTAAGCTGATATATTTTTTTAATTTGTCCAATTCATCTTTTCTTATAATAAAATAATGATATAAACTATCAATAATTATACAGAAATATACATATAACTTATTTATTCACAAAATTTTATATCACCACAAAAAATCATCGTCTCTGTACTGAAGCTAATAAATATTTTATCATGTTTCAGATAATAAGCAAGCAGATCACCAGTAAAGTCACCAGACCTGCAAGCTTTAAAGTGTTCGGCCGTAGGTTTTATGCTGCTACTTCTGGTGAGTAGAATACTTTCATTATTTACGAAAACTCGTTCCTATAATTTACAATGTTAAAATATTTTTTATCTTTGTAGGTGAAGAGTTCGATACCGTTGTAATTGGTGGTGGTCCGGGAGGGTACGTAGCGGCTATTAAAGCTGCTCAATTAGGCTTAAAGGTATCGAATTATATTATTTATCGGTAATAACGCATCGAGTATTTGTGTCATTCTAAAGCGATCGTTTTTTCTTGCCAGACCGCATGCATTGAAAGAAGAGGCACACTTGGTGGCACATGTTTAAACGTTGGATGTATTCCTTCTAAGGCAATGTTGAACAATTCCCATATTTATCATCAAACAAAACACGAATTGAAAGATAGAGGGATCGATGGTACGTTATGGTGTTAAAAAAATATAACCATGCAACATCATATAAATTTGTTAATATATAATGTTTTTAATGTTTTGTAAAATAAAAGTTTCGGATGTGAAACTAAATTTAACCACAATGTTGAAGGCTAAAGATAAGGCTGTCACGGGACTTACTCGGGGAATTGAGGGACTATTTAAAAAGAATAAGGTAACTTACGTTAAAGGACATGGAAAATTCGTTGGAGTAAACGAAATTGAAGTAGATGGATTAGATGGAAACAAAACTACGCTAAAGGCCAAAAATATTATAATCGCAACCGGATCAGAACCAACACCATTTAAAGGTTTAGAGGTAATGATGTAATATTTGAGTTACCTTTTTTTTTCATATAAAGTTTTGTATAATCATATTATTAATTGTAAGAAAAATATATAGGTTGATGAAAAACAAATAGTTACGTCTACGGGTGCACTTTCCTTAGAAAAAGTACCTGAAAAGATGATAGTTATAGGTGGTGGAATTATTGGTCTTGAATTGGGATCGGTATGGCAACGTCTAGGTGCTGATGTAACTGTTGTAGAATTTCTTGATGCTATTGGTGCTGGAATGGATGGAGAGTTGGCGTATGTAAAATTGTTTGCTATTGGAATTTTGTTTGGTAATGTAATATGTTGTTGATTCTTATGCGATTCAATTACATAAATTAGCAAGTCTTTTTCGAAAATACTTCAAAAACAAGGATTAAAGTTCAAACTGAATACAAAAGTTATCGATGCTACTAAAAAAGATAACAAAGTATATGTAAATGTTGAACCTGCAAAAGGTGGAAATAAGGAAACAGTACGTAAAATTTACGTAATAATTTATTTCGATAGTTGTATGAAAGGTTTCTTAAAAAATTTTCTTCATTTATAAAGTTGGAAGCCGATGTGGTTCTTGTATCAATTGGAAGACGTCCTTATACAGAGAATCTTGGGTTAGAGAATGTGGGTATAGAAGTTGATGAAAGAGGTAGAGTCAAAATTGATTCTCAATTTCGTACCGACAAACCTCACATTCGTTGTATTGGTGATGTTACATATGGTGCCATGTTAGCACATAAAGCAGAAGAAGAAGGTACTTGTTCGTTTATATATCTGTGATTAAATCACGTTTTTATGCTAATTACTAGTATTTTTATTAAAGGAATTGCTGCTGTTGAGTTTATTAAAGCTGGATATGGACATGTAAATTATGATGCGATACCATCTGTAATTTATACCCATCCTGAAGTAGCATGGTGTGGTAAGACTGAAGAAGCGGTGAAAGCATCCAACAAACCATATCGTGTCGGTACTTTCCCTTTTGCGGCAAATTCTCGTGCTCGTACTAACGATGATTCTGAAGGAATTGTCAAAATCATTTCCGATTCTGAAACTGACCAAATCCTTGGAGTTCATATCATTGGACCTAATGCTGGAGAAATGATCGCTGAGGCGGTTTTGGCCATGGAATATGGTGCAAGTAGCGAAGATATTGCTAGAACTTGCCACGCTCATCCAGTAAGTTTTTGAATTAAACTCGGAATTAAATTTTATGTTCCTACTTCAAACAAACATCTATAACAATTCTTTTATCCTTTAGACGCTGTCTGAAGCTTTAAAAGAAGCTGGTTAGTAATCATGATCATTATTAAATATTTGATTTATAATTATTTATTAATCTTTTTATTTTATTTTATTTTATTTTATTCATTTCAGCAATGTCCACATATGATAAAGCGATTCATTTTTAAAAATTATATAATAATTTAATTTGTATTTATCAATATTCCGTTGAACATTATTTATTCATTCATTCCACTACCGGTAAATTATTGATAAAACGAATAATGTTTCTTTCTGAATTATTCAATATTATTCTCTTGCGGCCGATTCTTACAAGTTACAAAGTTACAGCGTTATTAATAAATGTGTGTAACATATGCAGAAGATTCATTATTTATAAAATATCACATAATAACATTAAGTATACGTAAAATAATTACACTTATTATAAACTAGATAAAAGTATACTAACTATAAGCTAAATAAGAGCAAAAAGGTAAGGATTAGTGAGTACTTTTAAAATCAGTTAATGCACTTTTTGCAAATTGTTTGACTTTACGGTTTCGCATACGTAATCTTTGAAGCCAAGAATCCTTTATTGGTAAATGTCGCCTTCTACTTCTAAGTGCATATGCGGCAAATATAATTGCTAATATGACAAAATTTATAATTGCATGCTTTGCCATAATCTAAAAGATGAAATTAAATAAATGGATTCAAAATCTGAATTGGAACAACGTCAAAAACAAACATGAGGAACTCACTTTGACAAACCAAGACCAACTTCGATTTATAATTCTCTTGTTTTTTTCACGTTCATTTAATTCTCTCCTTAATCCTTCTATCCGTTCATGTGAAGCAGCAACTTCAGCTTGTAATTTTTCAAGAGCTTTCTCAATTTCACTTATTCTACGAGGAGTAATTAATGATGATTGTAAATTATTTATTGTTCGTTCAATATTGTGAATTCTTCTATTTATTGATAAATTATTTGAAGATTCTTCTTCTGATGAATTAGAAGAACGTGAATGATGATGAATATCATCTTCAGATGGCGTTGTATATTGTTGTTGTCCTTCTGGTGAAGTATTTGAGTCATGTCGTCTATGTAAATCATTTAGTGAAGGTTCGTGCCTTGAGGATGTGGTTTGTGTTGTTGTGTTAAGTGGGGTGAATGGTAATAATATATCGTCATTTACAGGTGTTGAATAATCTTCGGTATCCGATTCATTTCCGTTATTATCTAAAGAAAGTTTTTAGAGATATGATATATTTCAAATTTAATGATATTTTTGCTTAATTAATTAATAAACTTACAACGTATCATTATTAAATAATTTTTCTATTCAATTTATGCAATTTTATTAAAAAAAAAAAAAAAGGTTTTGGAAGAATGAAAATTTTTCGTCAAAAAAAAAAAAATATATTCGTGATCAATCATGATCATCAAAAAATTCACGTGATTTTAATAAACTATAAAAAGCATATATATATACAAAAAATTGTTGTTTTGCTTTTTTCCCCCCTGTTTCAGAATGTTATATAATGTTTATATTATCAGTTTTGAAAGATACAATTCATATACAACCTTATGATTTTTATAAATCTAAATATGATGCATTAAGCGACGAAATTAATCGAATTTACGCAAATAGAGTAAGGTTTAATCTCCCCTTTTCCGTTTTGTCCTCCAATTCTGTAAAGTATTAAACGAATACTTCTTTTATGATATTTGAAAGATTATTCAAGAAGTTGGATTATGTATATGCTTATTTGATATACTTTCTGCAAGCGAAGAAATAGTTCATTACGGGAACGGTGCTAGTTATGCTAAAGGTATTTTTTGGCTTTATGTTTGACAAATGCATAACTCTCCCTAATTTTATAGAACATTAATTTTCTTCATAGTTACATTTCGAATAGTCGTATTTCGACCTTTCATTGGTGAAATTCTGGAAGGAAAAGTTTCAAGTAATACACCCGAAGGTGTTAAAGGTATGGGTTCTCTAAAAAAATTTTGATTATTTTCTCGAGTATAATAATTAAATGACCTTTCGAATTGCTTTGCAACAATTTTTTTTTTTTTTTTTTGAATAGTAACTTTAGGATATTTCGATGATATATTAATCCCCACAAATAATGATGATGGCTGGAGGTTGTAAGTTATTCAAAAATTTTTTTTTTTTTTTTTTTTTTCTCGATATCATTTTAAACTGTTTATCAAACTTTTCCTTTTATTTTTTATAATAAGTGATTTTGGATCACAAGTTTGGGTAAGGTTATGGGACAATCCATTACCGGAAAATTTATGGAAATCAGTAGAAGATAAATATTTGTATATGTATATGGATAAGGATCAACCATTAAAATTTAGAATTATAGAAGAGAAATTTACTGATATTGGTACAAAAGGTCCACCACCCAAACGTACTGGGGCCGTAGCTGGACAAAAAGTTCCTCAACCTGGTTCTTCTTCATTGCCTTCTGATGTCATGATTGTTGGCAATAATAAGAGTGTAACAAATTTACAACAGAATATTGCTAGTGGTGACATTACTGCTACTGAATCCAATTCTACCATTGGAGGTACTTCTGTTTTACAAGGAAGTAGATTATTAGGAGCGACCACTGTTTCTTCACAAACCCATAAACTCAAACAAGCACCTTATGAAATTATTGGATCTGTTGCTGAAGTTGGTTTGGGTTTAACCTCTTGGGCTTGGGATTAAAAAAAAAACAAAAAAAAGCTTTTATAAAAGCACATATACTTGTATATATCATGGATAATTCTAGTTTAATTATAGAGATTATCTATTTTTTTTTTTATAGTAATTGTAAATATAGTGATTTACATTATTATTCGTGATTTGGCTTTTTATAGATTCGTTCGCAAAAAATAAAATAAAATGAAACTATTGTCAATAAGTTTTGGAAATTGAACATAATCAAAAGATTAATCCAATATGTCGTCGTCATCAGGATCATTTTGTTCAATATTAAATTTAGTTACGTCTCTCGAAGGAGATGGTGATGAAGATGGTGATGGCCGTATAGAATTTTCTTTATTTTTGTTGAATGGGAAGAATGATGTTGGAGATTTTACCGATGCCCATCTTGCACCAGTTTTTGGAGTAAAATCAGAAATATCCGGATGTTCTTCAAGGGATTCTCCTACTTTTTCCTCCTTGTATTTTGTTATTGTATTAACACCATCATCTTCAATAGGAATCAACTGAAATACAACAACAAAGAAAACGATTGAAGAATCGCGCGATTTGCACACATAACGAACAGGCTGAAAAAGAATTAATTCAAAATGTTCAATTAAAGAATTACGCGTTTTATAATAATTTGTTAAGGTGAGATCACTGCAAAATTTAAAATAGTTATTTACCTGACCTTCCCAATACTGCAGGACTCCGAGTTTAAATCCAGGTAACTATAAAATATATATATATATGTATATAATTATCATAAATCATAAAATCATCAAAGTCAAAAAAAAAATTTTTTTCTTTGTAATAATTACTTTTACAGCAACATCATTAAAATCTACATAGGCATTAAAGAAATCAAAATTCCAAACTTGATTTTCTTTAATAGGAAAGATTTTTCGATTTTCCTTTGAATTGAAATATTTTTTTCTCATAGAAACATTATTTAGTACTTCAATCTTATCACCATCACGCGGAATAATCACATTTTCTTCAATATGTTCACCATTAACAGAAGGCCATGGTGGTAATTCTCCATCTTTAATATCAGGTTCTTCATGTACATTTAATCTATTCATAGTAAAAGCCAGTGGACTATATGCCCACGGTTTATCACAAGCAATATCTGCTTCTAATCCAGAATCAATATATTGAAGAATCTTTAATCCCAACCATGATCCAGGTGGCAAATTAACTTTTTTATCAAAGTCATTCTAATATATATATGTGTGTGTTAAAAAGAAAAGAAACTTTGATAGTTAAAACGCGTGTTTTGAAGTCGGGTTCGAATTTAAAAAGTTTTATATTTACACCAAATATAATGTCATCTGCCGTCAAATTATTCCCTTTAAATCTTCCTTGTACTTGAACTGAATATTGATCGTTATTTCCTTCAAAATAAGGGCTTGATTCGATTCTTGATGTACCTAATGGTGTTATTCCTTTAAAATCTCTTACACGAACGCATATTCTGCCTGTAAAATGTTGAGTGTTAATATAATATGGATTAGAATCATCATTTGGAAGTATTGTAATGTGTGTTTTTGGGTCATAGGATGTTCCTAAACTAACGTTTAATTTTAATTTACTTTTATTCATTTTTGAAGAAAAACTTTCTGTTAGTTTATGAATTTTATATCAGTGATAAAAAATGTTGCACATGATGATCATTTTGACATTTATTTATTAATGACCAAACCTGGAAAGTGCACATGCCAAAATGTTCCCAAAAAAAATATAAATAGCGCGCCTTTATTTTTTTTTTTCCGGATGATAAAAAATATGCAATACTCCCACTCATCGCAACCTTTCAATTTCGTTTTCGAATATGGTCTCTTCTTTCTTATAATGACCGTTTTTTTCTATAATTTAGATTTATCCAAGTTGAAATTAAGGCGACACGGATTTCCACAGGTTTAATTTAATTTATAAGCCTTTTTGTTAATTTAAATTTTTTATTTAAAAAATCCATCTTATATATAGCATATAACAGGAAATGAAAAATGGGTAGCTGATTTCATTTATCCAAATCATTGGAAGAGTGGTTCAATCATTGAAGTTTCTCACAAGGTTTAATAACTTAATTTATGCAATCACTCATTTATATTTATATAAAAAAATTTTTTAATTATGCTTTATTTTTTAGATCGGACTAGAAAAACGAACACAGATAATAATTCCTAAATCAAAAATTGTTTTCTTATTAGTATACGTGTCGGCCCTTTTCATATTATCATGGATGTGGGAACCGAAATCTAAAAATATAGAATGCGTTAAAAAATCTTTAACCCCCGAGTTATATTGAAAAAGTCATTTGAGACCGGATTTCGGTATTTATATTATATATTTTGGCCATTCAGTTTTATTTTTATCTCTTTATCTCTCTTTTACTCACATACTAAATATATTCACTAACATTTATATAATCAAAGAAATAAAAATTTCAGAAACCTAGATGTTGTTTAAATTTTGCTATATAAAAATTGATCAATTCCGCTAAAAATGCATTAACATTCGCCTCGAACTGATTTTTCGTTGTTAATGAAATTTATTTCTCAAAAGTAAATTAAATTTCCTAATTAAAATAAATTAATTAACTTACATAATTAATTAACTTACCGTAAAGGTCGTCCTTTGGATATTAACTTCCGGTAACAACTCCACAAAAATCATCTTTAATGGTTCCAATTGCGAACTTTAGGCAAAATTCAATTAATAAATATTTTTTTTTAAAAAAAAAAAATTCTCGTTATTTTATAAACTCACAATATCAGTTGCGTCAAATCTTGTTCCAACAATCTTTATTCTGACATGAGTTCCTTTTTCAATTACTGCATACTAAATCAAACATATTACCTTAAATGGATTTGAAGTCTCAGTAAAATTAGATGAAATAACAATTAATTCTAACTTACGGAATCTTCGCTGTTATTGGCATAACATGGAGGGTTTTTTGTTGGATCGAATTTTAAATCTTGAGGAATCAACTGTAAAAGAGACAAACCTAGTTAGAAACTTCAAAGTTTTTTAGAAGAGTTACTTGATTTAACTGATAAATCTATTCTGCTTACATGACTAGAAACAAATACTTGTAATGGTCCAACGTCAGCAAAGAAACCCATCTAACATATTTAATATTCAAGTTAATAATATTCTTTTAAACATTCAACGTTCAAAAATTCTCTATTACCTTGTTAACTTGACTTACTACTCCATCCACGACTTCACCTTTAAAAGGTTTGAAAACAATTGCTCTATACGCAACTTCAAATTCGGCTAATCCAACTGAAGGTATAACCTTTCCTTGAGAAATCTCTAAAGTTTCGTTAGTATCTAATACTGCTATAACGTAACCAAATCTCCCTGTACAAGTTCCTTCAACATCTTTATATAATTTTTCTGTAAGGTAAGTTTCAAAATTTTGTGTAAAATAAGCAGGGTGGAGTTGAATAGTATGATGCAACTTTTTCTATAAAATGTTATAAAGATATAAAGACTCGATCAAATTAAATAAAGAATGAGAAGGAAAAAAAAAAAAAAAAAAGTGCTTACAATAAAAAACATTTTGTAATTCTAACAAATCTCTGAGAAAAATGTCAATGATATATGGGATCTTCCTTCATCCAATCATCGTTTAGAGTTAAAATGCGAGCACAAATCCTGTTTAATCACATTACTCTTTAGTCCCGATTTTTTATATATAAAAAATACTACTTTATAATCACGATAGCCTTATAGTCACAATCACATCAAATTATCAGCCTAATAAGATAATAAATATATATGTAAAATCCTCCTTTATTATCACCGACCAATTAGAATACAGTAAAAGTAAAGAAAAAATTTTATTAGTAAATTAATAAAGGAAAAAAAAAGAATATGGAAATTCTTAGACATGAAAATTGGTTGACGCAATAATATATTATGGATTTTCACGGAATCTGATCCTATCTAGTGCTCTGAAACGGTCAAGTCGATCCGGGTTGTTTGATCCGACTCAAATTTTTTCTCGAGTCAGGACTATCATTTTTATGACACGAGTCCTAATTCAAAAAAACCCGCTGAGTCAGGAATTCATTTTTGCTTGAACTGAGTCGACCCAGTCGACCCTGGTGACCCGGATGATCTGATTTAAACAATATCAATATAAATTGACGCGCTAGACTTTTTTTATACGACTTTAATTTGTAACAATTAAATAATGAGTGAAACTATCAACGTTACTGATAGTACAACTTCTTCTAGAAACGAAAAATATTGCGGAGTGAACAATTACAAGTAAAAAAAATATCATTTATTAAACATTAACTAATACATTTTTTTATAACATCAGGAAATTTTTTAGGAGATAATTATCGATATTTATCCTCTTATCACTAATTATCACATTTTATCGCATAAAATATATCGATAATTAACAAAATCAAAAAATAACCAAAAATTATCTGTAATATATTAACGATACCAATTGTTTTAAATAAATGTCTTTTATATGCATTTTAAATAAATTTCTTTTATATAATTTTTATTTATTTGAACTTTATATAAATTTTATAAATTAAATATATATAATCACATTTTTTATATTTTTAATATACCTGTGACTATATACACTTCCCTATAATTACAGCATTTGATGATCCTGAAATGTGTGATTATAGGGAAAGTTGACTGTATTACTTTTAGGATTAGTTTTAAAAAATCGTTTTTATTTTTTATTAATAATGTAATCTATATATTATATATTTTTATAAATGTAGTTAATAAATCTTTTTGTTATAATATTTAATTAATATTTTTTTTTTTTAATAAAATTATAATAATGTAATTTGAATAAAGATATGTCATATAACAAGTTAATATTAATTGATTGATTAATTATAATTTTGTAATGAATTTATTTATCATAAGAAAAAATGTTAAAAGTTATATAATAATTTTCTTTTTTGTAAAAAATTATGAAGGTTAAATCCTGATATTTTATATAATCTTTCATATTCTAGAAGCATATTTTGATCTATTATAAATGTTAAACAATCAAAATAAGATATTTTAATATTATTTCAAATATCTATTAAGAACCACATAAGCTTATCCAAGAGAAAATATATTTCCATCTAATACAAGAAATACTTTTGATAAGGTTAAATCTTGAATTTTATAAACAGTAAGAGCGTGAGAGTTTTGAAATGAAAATTGTGTATGATAACAGTTGTTTTCATATTATTCAAAATAATAGGTTTATTTGTAAATTATTGTATCAATAATAGAACCTTTAACTGAAAATGCAACACAAACAGATTGATCTATAAGATTAAGGTTAATGATAATTTCTATTATACCATTACATATTTCTTGTTCAATTAATAATTATTATTAAGATATACAATCAACTCTTTCTACAATGAATTTTAATATAACGAATTTTACAATACAACAGATTTTCAGTATTAGACAGATTTTTAAATATAAAAAAACCTTTACTATACTGAATTTAGTAATTAAAAATTCATACTACGTTTAACAAATTAAAGTCAGAAAAATTTATATATAAAATAACTCTTTTTATAACAAATTTTCTCTATAATGAATTTTTTTTTGATATAACAAAGTTTTACTTAAAATGAATTTTATTAGATTTATGTATATAAAATTTTGTAGTTCTTTGTACCTAATTATTAAAAAATGAATAAATATTCGCATTACACATTGTGTCTTGTGTTTCATATTTTTTTACATATTTTATTTTTTACATGTTTTTTTTTCTTTGTATAATGCCAATAATACTAAAAGTAAACTCAAAGAAACAATTTAATCAACCTATTACCAAACAAGATAAACCTTTTAAAAAAAATGAAAGTCTTTTACAGTTGCACAAAAAAAAGAACTTTATTTGAAAAAAATATCATCATCTTTTTTAAAACAAAAAGACTTGGCTAATAAATATGATGTTAGTGAAGACATGATAAGTGACATTTTAAAGAAGAAAGACTATTAGTTTTCTGTGAATATCAATTCATATCAAGCCAATTTGAAACGTGATAAGAAAACTCCATTCTCTCTTATTGAAGAAGCATTAGTAATATAGATAGATAATATACTCAAAGCTAGCCTTATTATTACTAATTATATTCTTTTAACAAAAGCCTTGAGTTTGTTTTTTTTATTAAAGGAGAATAAGTTTAAAGGGTCTAGTGATTGAGTGAACAACTTTAAAAAATAACACAACCTTAAACAGTATCATATACACAAGAAAGCTGCAAATGCATCATTCAAAGATCTCAAAATAATGAAAGAGAATTTCTGGCAAATATTAAAAGAATATAATCCTGAAGATATATTCAATTGTGATGAAATAGGATTGTTTTAGAAGATGAAACTATGTCAAACGATATCTAATAAACAAACATCAGGAAAGAAATAATCAAAGGATCATATAATGATTCTACTCATATGCAATGCAATAAGGAGTAAAAAACTGATGTCTTTGTTCATATACAAGTATAAAAATTCTAGGTTATTAAGAATATTAATAAAAGAATGCTTCTGGTTGAATACTATTAGAACCAAAAAAGTTGGATGCAGATTTTAATCTGAAA